CCCACGGTCCCTTCTGTTAATTCCAAAAGTCTTTTTGTCTACTTTAAATATTTCTCTTAACTCTACATACGAAAACTAGGAGAAGCCAACTCCCTCTGCAGTCAGCTGATCTCTTGGCTTCACCTTGTATTATCCCAGTACTTCTTCAAAAAAATCTTAATATGTTAACCATTTCTCTTTGTCTGCTCTTTCTTTGCCACAAAACCCTTCCTGTGCCAAGACCCACAAAGGCGTTTTCAGGCACGACCTGTGTTTCTATCTATTCCGTATTTATTTGAGATTTGTTTCTTAAATTTATTTGCGCCCATCTCACCATAGGGCTACTGTAGCTGGCTGATAATAAAAGAAACAAAAATGAAGGGCAGGTAAACAGAAATGTAAAATAGTAGAATAATAAAATAACCAACAAAAAAAATCCGAAAAGCGTTTTTTTTTTCCAAAAAGCAACTGGACTTTTGTTTTTTCCTTGAAGACGTTTCGCTTCTCATCCAAGAAGCTTCTTCAGTTCTGACCAAGTGTTGGAGGATGGAAGGATTTATACTCCTTGCAGACAGCTGGCCATTAGCACTTTCTCTGAGAGTCGCTAGGCCGCTTGAAGGTTTATCTATGCCAGGGGTCTTCAAACTTGGCCCTTTTATGACTTGTGGACTTCAACTCCCAGAATTCCTGAGCCAGCACAGCTGGCTGAGGAATTCTGGGAGTTGAAGTCCACAAGTCATAAAAGGGCCAAGTTTGAAGACCCCTGATCTATGCCCTCAGAGTCACCTGAATAACCCAGGACATTTCTCCTAAAGTTCATCTAAAATCTACCTCAGAAGACAGAAGTGTCCAGAAAGAGAGGATGGAGTCAACAACCAAGATGGTGGCTGTTTAAAAGGGCATCGCATATAAAGTGAAAAAGCAGCAGGACTCTGCAGAGTGTGGCACAATTTGACTGCCATCTTGATTTTTTTGACATCCCTCCCCGTCCATGCCCTGAAAACAGTCACCTTGATTATTTTGAACAATAATTTTATTAAAGATTATATTCACAGACCAAACAAAGAAACTTAATACAAATGTGTGTGTGTGAAGATATGAAAAAGACACTGGGAAGAAAAAAGAAAATCCCTCCCCCAAAAAAAGATAGGAGGAAAAAGAAACTTTCCCTCTTCTTCCTCAGCCAGAATATATTCAACATCAATACTTTATCACTAAATAAACAACCAGATGCATCTTTGTTCCACCCCTCCCCCATTTTCTCCTCTCTAAAATTTCAGTTCTCACTGATCAACAAAGGCCTAGTAAAAAAAATAACAAAAATACCTGGGTGTCTTGACTCATGACTATAAGAACTTATGACTGGAAATCCATTCCCAATTGTAGTCATACGTCAAGGACTACTTGTATTTTGCAAAACATTGTATATACTCCCCACACCCTTATAATAAGGTGACCAATCGTCCTCCTTTAGGGAGAACAGTTCTTTTTTTGTACTCATTTAAATAATAATAGGCATGTAAGCATAATTACAATATAAAATGTTATTGTTACAAATGTTTTTATTATGCATTTATATAGTGTATTCTGTATTGTTGCAATGAATAAAATGTTTTATTTACGGTATTTTTTTCTTCAACTTATTTGTGTCCTCCTCATTGTAAAAAAGTTGGTCACCTTATAACCCTTTTGTGTAACCACTCTGGTAAGTTACTAATGCGGCTTTGTGAGCAAAACTTTCTCACACTCCCAACATTTATGTGGATTTGCTTGATTGTGGTACTGAAGGTTACTTGACTAGGAAAAACATTTTCCCCACACCAAACAATTGTAGGATTTCCCTTCTGACACTGTGTAAAATTCCTGGTAAATAGTAAGGTGCGACTTTTGAAAAAGGTTTTTCCCCACATTGTTCACAACTGAAAAGATTTATCTCTGCTGTGGACTTTCTGATGCATTTTGAGCTGAGACGGACAATGAAAGGTTTTCTCACACTCTGCACACTTGTAAGGCCTCTGTCCTGTGTGAGTTCTGGTGTGCCTGTAAAGTGCTGAATTGTGGGCAAAACATTTCCCACAGTCCAAACATTTATATGGCTTCTCTCCAGTGTGGATTCGCTGATGTATCACAAGAGTATATTTTTGAGAAAAACATTTATCACACTCCGAACATTTGTGAGGTTTCTCTCCTGTATGGATTCGGCTGTGAGTTCTAAAGGAAAATGGATTAGCAAATGTTCTCCCACAGTCTAAACATTTGTAGTTTCTTTCTCCTGTGTGAACTTTTATATGATTTCTAAGGATTGATGTAGTACGATAAAATCTTCCACATTCAAAGCATGGATATGGCTTCTCCCCTGTGTGGATTTTGTGATGTGTCAAAAGGGCTCCCTTTTGAGCAAAAGATTTTCCACATTCTAGGCATCTGTACGGCTTTTCTCCTGTGTGGACCCTCTGATGGCTTCTAAGGTTTTGTTTTAGGGAAAAGCATTTCCCACACTCCCCACATTTGTATGGTTTCTCCACTGTGTGGGTTCTTTGGTGAATCTGAAACTCTCCTGGCGAGATAAAACTTTCCCCACATTTAGAGGATAGCTCTCTTTTGTGCCATTTCTGGTGTCTCTGAAGTTCAGAAGAAAACATAAATCGTTTCTCACATTCCAGACATTCATAGGGTCTTTCTCCGGTGTGAAGTCTCTGATGTTGCACCAGGCTTGATTTCCAGGTAAAACACTTCCCACATTCAAGGCACTTTTCGTTTTTCTCCCCTCTGTGTTTTCTCTCATGACTCCGAAGAGATGAACTCAGGGTGAAAGATTTTCCACACTCAAAGCATTTGTAAGATTTTATTCCTGCATGAACCTTCTCATGGATCCAAAGACTGGCGCTCTGAGAAAAGCTCTTCCCACATTCCCAGCACTTGTAAGGTTTCTCCCCTGTGTGAAGCCTCTCGTGGTTTCTGAGATAGGTTTTTTGACGGAATTTTTTCCCACATTCCAGACATTCGTAAGGTTTCTCTCCCGTGTGGATTTTCTGATGTCTAAGAAGACTTGACTTTTGACCAAAGCATAAGTCACATTCCTCACATTTATAGGGTTTTAATTTGGGGGGGCTTCTGAGATCTTTGGTGTCTTTCCCAGAGAAGGATTTCTTGCCCTCCAAACCTTCACTGGATCCGCTTCCCAGATGGACCTTCCTGTGGGTCAAAAGGACAGACCGGCGAGCAAAGGATTTCCCACACTCTGAGCATTTGTGGGTTCTTTCGTGGTTTTTCAGAGTGCTGCTTGTGTCTGACGGGGGATCCAAGAGTTTCCCACCTTCCATGAGTTCTGGCGGCTGCTGCATTGTGCTGATTTTCTACTATCTCTTGAAAGGTGACTTGCAGGTGAATCTTTGGTCAGAGTTGTTTCCCTGCTGGTGGAAAAAAAAAGAAAATGAGAATAGCATTTTTTTTTGAGGAAGACTGAGAATCACAAAAACATAGCTTTAGAAGTGCCACCTGGAGAAGGAAGGCATTTGGAAAAACATTTTGAATTATGTAGGTGAGACTTCTGGCCATCAGCTTGTCGTGATACCTGATAACAAGACCAGCCTCAAAACTTCCATAAAACCTGTCCTTTGTAAAACATCCCATCAACAACGGGCCTGCCACAACACAGCCCCTTCAAGGAAAAACAAGGAAAATTTTGGTTTTTAGAGCTTCTTCTACCCAGCTTTGTCAAGGAACAGCAAACTAAACATGACCATAAAAACAAAGACTACTCATCCCTATTCTTTTACATTAAGTAGAAAGAAAAAAGATCTGAGATGATAGCATTGTTCCAATATTGGAGGGGCTACCACAAGGAGGAGGTTTGTGTGTCAACCTATTCTACAAAGCATCCGAAGGCAGGACAAGAAACGATGGATGGAAGCTAATCAAGGAGAAAACCAGCCTAGAGATAAGGAGAAATTTCCTGACCGTCAGAATAACATTTTGGAGAAGTGGCAGGGTTGACAATAAGAAAAGAGAAAAGACCAAAGTGCTAACAAAGAATTTAACAGAAAAAAAATCAACTAACAAAAAAAAATAAATAAATCTTCAAATAGTTAAAAATGTCAAGTACTTGGGAATTTATTTAACAGCAAGATGTGCAACAGTAAAAGAAGATAATTATGTAAGATTGCTAAAACAAAATTGGATTTGGAAAAGTGAAAGAACCTCCAACTTTCAATGTTGGGGAGAATAGCAACAGTGAAAATGAATATCTTACCAAAAATACTCTTTTTATTTCAAACGATCCCTGTAAGGCTGGGAAAAGCCTTTTTTGATGAACTGAATACAATAATATTGAAATTTATCTGGTAAGGAAAAAAAGGTAGAATCAAAAGTGAAAATGCTACAAGAAGTAAAAGACAGTGCAAGATTTGGACTGCCGGACTGGAGGCTATATTATCAAGCAACCATTCTAACATGGCTTAAAGAATGGATAATACTTAAAGATAAAAGACTATGGTACCTAGAGGGGCATGACCTGCAAATCAGTTGGCATGCCTTTCTGTGGTATGGAAAGAATAAAATACATAGATACTTTCAAAACCATTTTATAAGGAATGCACTTCTTTCAGAATGGGAAAGAATAAAAGAAAAAAATTACATTAAAATACCCAAATGGCTTTCAACAATGGAAGCTTTTGCTTACCCAAATTTAATTAACTAAGATAAAGTTGTGACTTATAAAGATATTTTGGACAATGAAGGAAAACTGAAAGACAGACAAGAGTTACAAGAACAAGGTATTGATTTAGCATGGTGGCCATATCTGCAAATTCAAACAAGATATGAAAAAGATGTTAAACAACGGGATTTTATAAAGAACAGACAGACTTTGATCAGATACTCTTAAAAACAGATGAAAAGTTGATTAAGAAACTCTTAATAGATTTCTGTTAAACTTAAAGATGGAGGAAGAACAAGTAAAAGAAACAATGATAAAATGGGCAAAGAATTTTGAATATAATATAGAATTAGAAGATTGACAAAAGTTATGGGAAAGAAATATTAAATTAACTAAAGCAGTGCAATATAAACAAAACATATATAAAATGTTTTACAGATGGCATATGGCACCAGTGAGATTAGCAAAAATGTTTAAAAATACATCAAACAACTGTTGGAAATGTAAATAGAGACCAGGTACTTATTATCATATCTGGTGGACATGCCCAAAAGCAAAAAGATTTTGGGTTAAAATACATTTATGGTTGGAGAAAAAAACAAATAGACTTCAAAATAGAATTATTTTTGTTAGGAATAATAGGAGCTAATTATGAGAAAGATTGTATATATCTAATACTGCACATATTAACGGCAGCAAGAATGGTATTTGCCCAACATTGAAAAAATGAAAACTTATCAACTGAAGTACTAATTAAGAAAATTCTAGAGCAGACATGTCAAACACAAGGCCCTGGGGCTGGATGCGGCCCGCAAAGTGGTTTCATGTGGCCCACGAAGCCATCCTGGAAACAGTGAGGGAACGGCCCCCTCTGCCTTGGCCCTGGCCCAGCCCGGCCGGGAGCCAATGTACAATTTTGTGGTGGCCATCTATGCTGAAACGCATTCAGTCTTAGCTCCACAAGGCCGTCTGGAAACAGCGAGGAACCAGCCCCTGCCGTGTCAGCCCTGCCCCCTGGGTGCATGCTGGGGAGGTGTCACCCTTTGTGAGGAATGAAGAAATGGACCATGCCTTGGCGCTTGCCCCGGTCCCACCCCCTTCTGCCAGAGACCCTCAGATCTGTCCCACTACTTCCCAGGCCCCCACAGGCACCCTTGACGCAAACGATGTAGAGCTGGCCATGCCCACCCAGTAGGCCACCCCCACTCCATCCATGCCCACCCAGTAGGCTGCACCCACCCTGGCCACACACACACCCAGCGCAACCGCAGAAATTGAGTTTGACACCCCTGCTCTAGAGTGTGCAGAAATGGATAGATTGACTTTAAAGAGAAAGGAGAAAGAAGACTCAGTGTACTTTAGAACATGGGAAAAATTTTTATCAATGGCTAGAAAAACGAGTCAGAGAGAAAGGAATGTGATATGTAATTTTGAATTTATATCAGTAAGAAGAAGGCTATTGAGTGATGAATTAACATATTGTTTATGATAATTAACTATATCTATTATTGTTAGTTAAATAACATTTACCCAGACATTATGCTGTTTGCTAAATATTGAAAATGTTATTTGGAAAAACCCAACCCCAACCCCAACCCTAACCCAAACCCCAACCCTAATCCCAACCCAACCTTACCTCTAATCCTATAAAAACTAATAAAATCTATACGAAAAAAAAAGAATATCTGTCCAGTGGAAAGGCTTTCTCTAGAAGTTTTAAGTGCTCCAGCACTGGAGGTTTTAAGAATAAATTCCCCTCGAGGGAAGAAGTGGGAAAGAGCCGGAGCGACGTCCCCGCCTCCCCCCCCCCCAGTCCCTTTGAGGAGAGCTCTTCTTCAGCTGGGTATTTATGGATCTGGCCCAGACTGACTTCCTCGGGGGTCTCTGTGGATGAGGGGGCAATGCAGAAGCCCAGACTGCCAGGAGCCCCCAACGCCTTTACTTGCCCCCCATCTTCCTTTACTAATCCATAGGTCCCTGTATGTGTTTGGAGGGGGGGGTCTCCACCTCCATGCGAGGATGGGCTCTTGTCACCTTTAAGTAAACATAATATCCAGGTTTCTTCTCTTCATGCAACATGTCCTTCCTCTCTTCTCCTCACAAGTCAGCCAGAATTTCACCTTCCTTCTTGTTCCTGTCTCAGAAAAGCCTCTGCAAAAAGCATTTCATCCCATTTCTCTTATAAAGCAAGTACAGGTGCAAAATATTTCAGTCTCGACTTCCCTGGGGGGGAGGGGGTCGAAAGGGGCTGGAGGGAGAGGCAGTGGGGGATCTGCTATGTTAGAAGAGGCTGGGAGCTGCCATGATGCTTTCGGCCTTCGCTGCCCCAGAGTCAGAGGGCAACCTTAAACTACGATTCCCTTTCAGCCCAGGAAGTCAGCCAAGCCCTCAGTGGTTCTCAACCTTTTTAATGCCGCGACCCCAACCGGTCGTAAGTCGAGGACTAAACCGGTCGTAAGTCGAGGACTAAACCGGCCGTAAGTCGAGGACTACCCAACCGGTCATAAGTCGAGGACTTTCCCTGCCCGGGAGCGCCGCACATGCGTGGTTCCGCTCCCTGCGGCGGCCGAGGTGTAGCTGGCAAGCGGCAGAGACGGAGCAGGCCGACCACCAGCTGGCCCAGCCCAAGGGAGGTAAGGCACCCGCCAGAAAAGGGGGGAAAAAATGGACAAAAAAAATGGCGGACAGCCTTGCTTGGCGACCCCCATGAAATAGTCGATCGACTCCAAATGGGGTCCCGACCCACAGGTTGAGAACCACTGCCTCAGGGGATAGATGGGGAACTCATCAAATTTGCAGACGACACCAAGCTGGCAGGAATAGCCCAACACTCCAGAAGACAGGCTTAGGATACAGGAGGATCTGGACCAGCGGTTCTCAACCTATGGGTTGCGACCCCATTTGGGGTCGATCGACCATTTCACGGGGGTCGCCAAGCAAGGCTGTCCGCCATTTTTTTTCCCTTTTCCGGCGGGTGCCAGCTGGTGGTCGGCCTGCTCCATTTCTGCCGCTTGCCAGCTACGCCTCGGTCGGCGCAGGGGGCGGAACCACGCATGCGCGGCACTCCCGGGCAGGGAAAGTCCTCGACTTACGACCGGTTGGGTAGTCCTCGACTTACGACCGGTTTAGTCCTCGACTTACGACCGGTTTAGTCCTCAACTTATGACCGGTTTAGTCCTCGACTTATGACCGGTTGGGGGGTCGCGGAATTAAAAAGGTTGAGAACCACTGATCTGGACAGATTTGAATACTGGGCACTATCTAACAAAATGAAATTCAATGGTGAAAAAAGCAAGGTTCTACATTTAGGCAAGAAAAACCTGCTCACAAGACCAGCCTTACAAAACTGCCTTTGTAAAACATCCACCAAGAAGGAGCAGCCACATCACAGCCTTTTCTGGGCAAAAGGAGGAAAATAATAAGATTTAGAAATTACGCCCAGCTTTTTAAAACAGAAGCAAAGTAAAGATTAGCATCAAAACAAAGGGATTTTATTATTCCTCTTAGAGACAGAGCATAAAGAAAGAGGATCCCTTTTGTGGGCTAAGACGACGTGAGCTCAATTCAACTAATTTAAACTTGTTTTCTTTCCCCTAAAACCTCCCCTCCCCGTTGCAATCAGGACAGAAGGTGTTAGTACCAGATTATATATCTCAATAAATGTATTAAAGTTCCGTTTACTCTATTTTTTCAAATGCACTTGGCGGGATCTGCAGGCTCAGAGGCCTCCTGCTCTGACGGACCACAGGGAGACCTTCTGGAGCAACTTCCCCAAAAGCTCCTTCCCGGAGTCCCGCGGGGATCCTGGGCCGGGCGAGGAGGGGGCAGATCCAGCCCGGGGAGGGAGGGATCCCCCTTTGCCCCCCTGGAGGGAAGGGAGGGATCCGCTCCCTGCAGGCGACGCCAGAGCAGAATCTCCCCAAGGAAAACCCGGCAAGCCGGAGAGGCGGATCCGCAGCTACCTTTCTCCTGGCGGGGGGGGGGGAGAAAGCTCTCCTGGCGGGAGGGGCGCCCCAAAGGCCGGAGGGAGGGGAGCAGCCAGACCTGCCCCGAGCGGGATCCAGAAGCCTCTCCCGAGGGATACAGCGCAGGACGATCCCGCTAGGACGAAGCCAGACAGGCGCAGAGAAAAGGAGATCCAGCGAGTGGGAGGGTGGAGGTGAGAGGCGGGGTTTCTGCTCTCTTATCCGGCTCCGCCCCTTAGCAGCCTCAGCTCCTCCCCCCTCCCTTCCCCTTACCGCCTTCCCAGGCGGGACTCAATGTTCTTCCGCTGGGCATCCGCTTCCGGGGTTCCTCTGCCCATGCGAAGAGTGCCCTGCTGTGCCCGGGCGGGGCTGCCTCCTGCTCCAGCATCTGGGTGGAAACTGAAGCTCCGCGATGGCTTTTGGGGGGGAGGCAGGAGGGACAGGAACCCCCCCCGTCCCTTCGAGGAGGGCTCCTCTCCGGCTGGGTCTTTGCGGAGCCCGACTGAGGACGGAGAGGGAGGGGCTGGCCCAGGGTCCCTTCCCCGGGGGAGTCTCCCTGGCCGAGGGGGGGATGCAGAAGCCGAGTCCCAAAATGCCTTTACCCGCCCCCTCCGTCCCCCCCTCTGCCTTTCCCAGCCTATGGATCCCTCCAGGTGTTTTTTTTTGGGGGGGGTCTCTACCGGTATCGCCTCCTCCACACCCGGGGCCGGATCTTCGCCCAAGTGCAGTTTTGCTGCCTCTTCCCTCGCTTCCTCCCAAACCATCATCCTCTCCTCTGGAGGGTGAAGGGGGGGGTGGCACAAGAGACGCAGACAGTTCTGGCAATCTGCCCACATTGGATTCTGAGTTTAATAATGTGAGATTTTGGATCCACCCAATATATGGGGGATTATTATTCTTCCAGTGAAATAAATCTGAAGTTGAGAAAGGCCCCTGGAGAAGCCCCTTTAAAGGAAACTTCCCTGCTGGTGGGTATATCTCATCCTGGCTCCATCCGGTCCCTTCGGCTTCCCTCCAGGGTCTTCCCTCCCCTCCCCCCCCCCAATCTCTCCCCAAGGATCCTCCGGAGTGGGCAGGAGGGACGGAGTGGGCAGGAGGGACGGAGAGACCGACTTTGCTTTTTTCCATCCTTTCCTTTTTTTCTTCCTCCTCTTCCCACCACCCCCAGTCACATTTAAGCAAACAGTAGTTTACAAGTTTCTTGTCATCTGCTGCAATGGTTATAAGTGTGAAAAATTGTCATAATTCATTTTCTTCAGTGCCGTGGTAACTTTGAACGGTCACTAAATGAACCGTTGCAAGTTGAGGACTAGCCGTACACTCTTTAACTTGTTTTTTGTCCATTTCAATTTTTAGTAAAAGCTGATACTTTTTAGCCATTTCATGTTCCTCATTTGCACATACAGGAGTTCGGTTTCAAATTCTGTCTCCCAGTAGGTTGTGTTTAATTCCAAGTGTCCTTTTGTCCACTTTCAATCTTTTTCTCGACTCTACAGAGAAAAACTGTGAGAAGCTAAATCCCTCTGCTGATCTCCTGAATTCCCCTTGTATTCTCCCACCTTCCTTTTTTCTAACAACTCTCCATACGTGACCGTTTCTCTTTGCCTGCTCTTTTCCTCTCCCATACATGGCCTTCCTCTGCCAGGGTTTTCTCGGGCACCCTCCTCCGGGTTTATATCCCTTCCGTGTTCTCAATGCATCACTTCGATCACGAGGATTGTTGAGGTTGTACCACATAAAAACCAGGCCACCCAAACTTCAGCTCCTGCTCTTGTTATTTTAAAATTCTCTTATTTCTCAACAAAACTCATTCTTTTTGTCCAAACCAAACAGGCTGCAAAGGAGAATTTCCCAATCAGACTATCCTCTTTTCTTTGCATCCTGAAGAGTTTTAAATTCAACCCCTGGTTTTTCTCTCAGCATATAAACCTAGATTGCTTAAGGGATGCGCCTATTATTTAGAGAGGTATTGCTTAAAACAGAAGCACCATGAATATAGGTAATACATTCATTTTTAATCACAGAAATTCTCCCCAACAATGACAGTTGTAATTTACACATCTTAACACATCCTTCTTGATTTCATCCCATGCCTTAACATAATTATTTTGACATACAATTTGTATTTTTTTAATAATGCTCAAGTTTCTTCCTGTTCCCTCATTTCTTCAAACCTTTTTCCCCATCCATTTTATTTGCACTCCCATGTTCATATTTAGTTTGCCATCTTTGTCTTTCAGCTATTAATTTTAAAACCAGCTAAAAACCAACACAAAAATATTAATTTTTCCATTACCATTATTGTTCCTTATAAAAGGTTTTCCAAAATTACTACTGAATTATCAGCAAATGCCCTTCTTTTCCCCAGGCTTCTGTCTGCTGTGCTGTAGGGTATTTATTCCATGTTTCTATTTATTTCCTGAATTTGTTAATCCTGCCCAACTCCAAAAAGACTCTCGGTCGCTTAGCACAAACCCTTTCCCTCTTTGCAGTTTTTCTCTCAGAAGCTCCTGAGTTTTAACTGGACTCCTGACTTGCCTTAACCCCATCTTGCCAGACCCAGAGAGAGACCCTCCCTTTCACTGTGCTTGTCTCAGCTAAGGGGCCACACCTGGCCAGCCTTGGCCACTCCAGGAAAGCTCGGCAGTGCTGGATGGGAGACCACCAGGAGGTCCTTGGGCTCTGGGCTGGCTGGGAGGTAAATACACATTCAAGAGGGAAATGGGATCTCTCTCTGTCATTTTAGGTGCAACGGAATCACAAGGCTATTTCCATCACCTCATATTATTTGAAGTGTCTAAACCAGACATGTCAAACACAAGGCCCGGGAGCCGGATGCGGCCCGCGAAGTGGTTTCATGTGGCCTGCGAAGCCATCCTGGAAACAGTGAGGGAACGTCCCCCGCTGCCTTGGCCCTGGCCCAGGCCAGCCGGGAGCCAATGTACAATTTTGTGGTGGCCATCTATGCTGAAACGCATTCCATAAGCCCCCCCCCCCCTGCATGGCCTGAGAGGAACAGCGAGGCTCCTCCAGTGGACCATGCCTTGGCACTTGCCCTGGTCCCACCCCCTTCTGCCAGAGACCCTCAGATCTACCCCATTCCTGCCCAAGTCCCCACAGGCACCCTTGATGCAAACAATGTAGAACTGGCCACGCCGACCCAGTAGGCCACATCCACTCCATCCATGCCCACCCAGTAGGCTGCACCCACCCTGGCCACTCCCACCCGGCCCCCTGAGGGCAAACGCAATGCTGATGCGGCCCTCAATGAAATTGAGTTTGATACCCCTGGTCTGAACTGAGTTTCCTTCTTCTCTTCTGGGCCCCCAAATTTTAATATCCAAAATGAAAAGTAAAAATATCAGAAATAAAATTTTGAATTCTGCTGAAGCATTTGGGGAACCTCTCCTGTGTGGACGTTTTGGTGTACAAAAAGCACAAGAAACTGGGACAAAAAATTGCCGTGCTGGTTTCGTCACGGTGAAGGTTTCCCCACACCAAAAAACTGTAGGATTTCCCTTCTGTGACTGAAGTTCCTGGTGAATTATAAGATGTGACGTTTTAAAAAAATGTTTTCCACATTCTTCACAACTGAAGGGTTTTTTCTTTACTATGGACTTTCTGATGCACTTTTAGCTGAGACTTACAATGAAACGTTTTCTCACACTTGGCACACTTGTAAGGCGACTCCCCTGTCTGACTTCTGATGTGCTTGCAAAGTGATGAAGTTCGGGCAAAACATTTCCCACACTCTGGACATTTATATGGTTTCTCTCCAGTGTGGGTTAGCTGATGTCTCACAAGAGTATTTTTTTGAGAAAAACATTTATCGCACTCCGAGCATTTATGGGGCTTCTCTCCTGTATGGATTCGGCTGTGGCTTCTGAGGGAATATGAATGAGCAAATGCTCTCCCACAGTCTAAACATTTGTAATTTCTTTCCCCTGTATGAATTTTTAAATGACTTCTAAGGTGTGATGCAGTAGAATAAAATTGTCCACATTCAAAGCATTGATATGGCTTCTCCCCTGTGTGGATTTTATGATGTTTCCAAAGGTTTCCCTGTTGAGCAAAACATTTTCCACATTCTAGGCATCTGTACGGCTTCTCACCTGTGTGGGTTTTATGATGTGTCCAAAGTGCTCCCTTCTGAGCAAAACATTTTCCACATTCTAGGCATCTGTACGGCTTCTCCCCTGTGTGGGTTTTACGATGTCTCCAAAGATTTCCATGTTGAGCAAAACATTTCCCACATTCTACGCATTTGAACGGCTTCTCTCCTGTGTGGAGCCTCTGATGCCTTCCAAGGCTTTGTTTTAGGGAAAAGCATTTCCCACACTCCTCACATTTGTATGGTTTTTCCCCTGTGTGGATTCTCTCGTGAAACTGAAGCTCTCTTTGCGTAACAAAACATTTCTCACATTCCCCACATTGATAGGGTTTCTCCCCTTTGTGTCTCTTCTGATGTCTCTGAAGTTCAGAAGAACACATAAATCGTTTCTCACATTCTGGACATTCATAGGGTCTCTCTCCAGTGTGACGTCTCTGATGGCGCACCAGGCTTGATTTCTCAGAAAAACACTTCCCACATTCAAGACACTTTTCATTTTTCTCCCCTCTGTGTGTTTTCTCATGAGTCCGAAGAGTTGAACTCAGGGTGAAACATTTTCCACACTCAAAGCATTTGTAAGATTTTATTCCTGCATGAACCTTCTCATGGATCTGAAGACCTCCCGTCCGAGAAAAGCTCTTCCCACATTCCCAACACGTGTAAGGTTTCTCCCCTGTGTGAATTCTCTCATGCTTTCTGAGGGTGCCTTTTTTACTGAAAAATTTCCCACATTCCAGACACTGATAGGGTTTCTCTCCAGTGTGGATTTTCTGATGTGTAAGAAGACTTGACTTTTGACCAAAGCGTAAGTCACATTTCTCACATTTATGAGGTTTTAGTCTGGGGGAGCTTCTGAGATCTTTGGCACCTTTTCCAGAAAAGGATTTCTCACCCTCCAAACCTTGACTGGATCCGCTTCCCAGATGGACCTTCCTGTGGGTCAAAAGGACGGACCGGCGAGCAAAGGATTTCCCACACTCTGAGCATTCATGGGTTCTCTTGTGGTTTTTCAGAGTGCTGCTTGTGTCTGACGGGGGATCCGAGAGTTTCCCGCCCTCCATGAGTTCTGGCGGCTGCTGCCTTGCGCTGATTTTCTACTATCTCTTGAAAGGCGACTTGCAGGTGAATCTTTGGTCAGAGTTGTTTTCCTGCTGATGGAAAAAGAAAGAAGAGGAGAATAATGTTTCCTTTTGAGAATGGTAGAGAATCACAAAATCTTAGCCTTGGAAGGGACCATGAAGGTCTTCCAGTCCTACCCTCTGACCAGGGGAGAGGTCCGCATTACACCCCAGACAAAACCACCATTGTTTTCTTCTCCCCACATCCCTGGGAGGCAAACTCTTCTGCTGTTCAATGACTCTATCTTTTCCTCCTTGGTTCTCGTCCTATGACGAGGTGAAAAAGAAGCCCCGAAACTTTAGGTAGGAGGAAGGCCCAGGCAAGGGACATGGGCGTGTCTGGGGGGGTAGGGGGAGGTCCGGGAGACCAGGCTCAGGTCACCCGTGTGTTCGGGGGGTGATGAAGTGGGATGCACAGCTGCAGCCACCCCTGGAAGCCTGAGCCGACCCATCCAGACCATGGAAAGCAGCCCTGATTGACAGCAATTGTGGGGCTGGGCCTTAAGTGGAGGCCTGGGGTCACTGAACCCAGACCTGGACTTCAGCCCACTGTCACCTCAGCCACTGAGAAATGAGGCCTTAATCCCCACAACGGAGGCCTTTGCAGCCTTGCGCCATTCTCCAAGTCAGGTGTTCCATACATGTTTCCAAGCAACGTGTCCCAAAGCACGTTTTAGAACAGAAACTTGTGTATATTTATCGTGGTTTTTATTATCGCCTGTTCACTGCCCTGAGTCCCGTAAGGGAGATAGGGCGGTATATAAATTCAATAAATAATAATAATAATAATAATAATAATAATAATAATAATAATAATAATAATAATAATAATAATAATAATAATAATAATAATAATCTGTAAGCTTCTCCAGGACCTTCTTAAGTCAAACGTGGCCTGTGCCAGGACTCACAATGCCTCTCCTGCCCACTTGGTGAGCAGGCATGTAGGAAGCACATCACAATAGTAATGGGAGACTTTAACTACCCTGACATCAACTGGGAGACAAACTCTGCACCAAGTGGAAGATCAAACAGATTCTTGACAAACTTACCAGACAACTTTGTCTCCCAAAAAGTAGAGAAAGGAACTAGGGGATTAGCCATTTTCGATCTAATTCTCACTAACAGAGATGAAATGTTAGAAAGTGTTGAAGCCACTGGAACCTTGGGAGGAAGTGATCATGCAATATTGGAATTTAACATTATGGAAGCACAAGCAATAGAACACAGTCAAAGTAGAGTCTTGGACTTCAAGAGAGCTAATTTCAATAAACTTAGAGAGGGTTTGGAGATGATTCCATGGATGAGAATCCTCCAGGGGAAAACAACTCAAGAAGCTTGGGAAATTTTGAAAAGTGAGATAATAAAAGCCCAGTCTAGCACAATACCAACAAAGAGGAAAAATAACAGGTCTCAAAAGAAACCAGCATAGCTGCATAAAGAACTCTCTGATAAACTGAAAGATAAAAAGGACAAGTATAGAAAGTGGAAAGAGGGACACATAACTAAGTCAGAATATCAGCAAATAGCCCGAGCCTGCAAAGATGAAGTGAGGAAAGCTAAAGCTCAAAATAAACTAAGGCTTGCGACCAAAGTCAAAAATAACAAAAATAGTTTCTTTCAACATGTAAAAAACAAGAAAAAAGTGAAGGAAACGGTTGGTCCATCAGTGGGTGAAAGTGGCAAGAAGGTGACAAGCAACAGGGAGAAAGCAGAACTATTTAACTTGTTTTTCGCATCTGTCTTTATACAAAGGGAAAAAAACAACCAACCTATCAAAAATACTGCCATAAAAAACAGAATAGAAACACAAGTTAAGATAGGCAAGAAAATGGTAAGTGAGCACACGTCCAGCCTAGACGAGTTCAAATCACCAGGACCAGATGGATTACACCCTAAAGTTGTCAAGGAACTGGTAGATGTGATCTCAGAACCACTGAACTATATTTTTCAAAGATCCTGGAGCACTGGGGAACTACCAGAGGACTGGAAAAGAGCTGATGTAGTTCCCATCTTCAAAAAAGGGAAAAAAATGGATCCAGGAAATTACAGACCTATCAGTCTGACCTCAATACCTGGGAAGATTCTGGAAAAGATAATCAAACAACAAATCAGCGAACACCTACAGGCAAACAAAGTCATTACTAAAAGCCAACATGGGTTTGTCAAAAACAGATCATGCCAGACAAATCTTATTGCATTCTTTGACCAAGTGACAAATTAGTGGATCAGAGGAATGCTGTGGATATAATTTACTTGGACTTCAGTAAGGCATTTGACAAAGTAGATCACAACCTACTACTTGAGAAGATAGAAAAATGCGGGTTAGACAGCATCACCACCAGATGGATCCGTAGCTGGCTGACCGGCCGTACTCAGCGTGTGGTCCTCAATGGAACCCCATCTACATGGAGGGAAGTGTGTAGTGGGGTCCCCCAGGGCTTTGTTCTGGGCCCAGTGCTCCTCAACATCTTCATCAACTATTTGGACTAGGGGATAAATGGGGAACTCATCAAATTTGCAGATGGCACCAAGCTGGCAGGAATAGCCAACATTCCAGAAGACAGGCTTAGGATACAGGAGGATCTGGACAGACTTGAACACTGGGCGCTATCTAACAAAATGAGATTCAATGGTGAAAAAAGTAAGGTTCTACATTTAGGCAAGAAAAACCAAATGTACAGGTATAGTATAGGGCAGGCATGTCCAAAGTCCGGCCCGCGGGCCATTTGCGGCCCGCGGCCCGGTTTAATCCGGCCCTCGAACAGCCCTCCCTGCTCTATATAAATGCGGCCCTCCCACGGCCCTCTGGCAAGTCCCATGAGAGAGAGAGAGAGAGACAGAGACAGAGGCACTTGCACTTCTGTCTCTCTCTCTCTCTCATGGGACTTGCCCCCTCGCAGGGCTCCTCATTGGCCCTGCGCCCGGGTGTCCCGCCCCCTGGGAGAAGGGCGGCCAGGAAGTCCCTTTCCCGGGCTGGCCCCATCCCAGGCGCACGTGGCTGGGGAGCCATGCGGGGAAGCCCCGGGATCCCCGCTGGGAGCAACCCCCCGGAGCCTTTGCTGAGTGGGCCAGCCCTCCCGTAAGCCGCAGCCCCGAGAGAGCATCCCCTGCGATGTCCAGCTGGCGCAACCGTTGGCCAAGCAGCAGCAGAGCCGGAGATGGAAGGTCAGTGGCAGGGGGGGAGGGAGGGAGCTCTGAGTCCGCAGAGCACTGCCGCGAAGTGGCTGCCGGGCAGGTGATTCGCCCCCCCGGCTTACTTGTTCCAGTCTCGGCTGGGGCATCGCTTCCTGGGCCGCTCCCTGGGCAGCCGAACCAGCCACATGTCTCCCCGTGCTGGGCGGCAGTCATGGCTGGTGCAGCGGCCAGCGGGAGCATCGCTCCCCGGGAAGCCGAACCGGCCACATGTCTCCCCAGCCCGGGCCGGACGGCAGTCAGGCATGAAGCTCGCCTGGCTGCCGCAGGGCTCTCCGCCGCCCGGCCCCACCTCGGCCCCATCGGTGGCACTTTCCTCGGGCACTTTCAGGGAGCCGCCGCTGCTGCCCTCGTTGCTGCAGGAGAAGCGGCGGGGGCGGCGGCCGGGCCAGGGGCGGCGATGGGGACCCCGGCGATGCTGCAGTGGCTGCCGCCAGAGCCGCTGCCTCCCGTCCTGCTCCCCCTCCCTGCCCGTTTGGCTGAGGACGCAATGGGGCCGGTGCCACTGGAGCTGCTGCCTCCCGTCCTGTTCCCCCTCCCTGCCCCTCCCTGCTTGTTCGGCTGAAGAAGCGATGGGGGGGGGGCGGCCGGGAGCTTCTACCTTCCGTCCTGCTCTCCCCGCCCGTTCGGCGCCATCTGCCTTTCATTCTCTCTCTCTCTCCTAACCTGGAGGGAGAGGGAGAGAGAGAAAGAGGAAAGAAAGAGAAGAGAAAGAGAGGAGAGAGGGAAAGAGAAAAAGTGGAAAGAGAAAGAGGAAAGAGAAAGGGGAAAGAGAGAAAGTTAGAGGAAAGAGA